ACATATCAAGTATTATAAAGTTTGACATTTTGAAAAAATATTTAAAATTGAAATAAATTTTTTGATTTTTAAAAAAATCTTAAAAATATAAAATGTATGAAAAACTTTAAGAAAGTGAAAAATATTAACAATTTTATTTAAAATTAAAATTTTAAAAACATTTGAAAATCAACAAAAATGTTAAAAATTCATATTAAATTCCAAAAGAAGTGAAAGACTAAAGTTCAATTTCCTTTCTATTGAAATAAAGCAAAGCAAAAAAGAAAGAAAAAAATCAATAAAGTATATAGAAACTGCGTACACAGAGTGAACCGAGAATTTCTATAATCTCGAGGGATCCTAGAGTAATCAATATAGAACAAAGTGTGTATGTTAAATGTGGAAATTCATTCAAAGAAAGTGCAGAACAGACACAATAATAAAAAAAGAGGAGCGAAATTTTATGTATTAAATGATGTTTGAAACATAATCCAATCATTCCACAGAAATCTTCAACACACGGGGCTCTATGAGAAGGAAACTTTAATGTGCTTATTTATGTGGAAATTTACTGAACAGAATTTCTATTATTTGAACAGTTAAGGCGAAATTGAATTACCTTTTTCCAGGTATTTTGAACATGTAAACTTATGATGTTCTCTCGTAAAAAAAAAAATCTACACAGATGAATAAACATGTGCTGTTAAAGCAAATCACCTTTTATCTTACTATTATTATTTTTTTTTTACTTCCAAAAAGACTCGAAAAGTTCATCAAGATATTCTCATTTCTAAAAATAAAAAGATAAGTTTGAAAGAAATTCTCCATACTGAATCTGCTTTTGCTTTTGTTTAATTAAATTATCGCACAGTTCATAGAAGAACCTGAAATAACTAAATGACTTGTATGGAATGGATTTGAAACATTTTCAAGAAGTTTGGAAAGAAAATAACATTTTTTGAACAAATTTTGAGAGTTTTAACACATTCTGAATGGATTGATGTTGTTCATGTAAGTTCATGTAATGATAAATTGTTTTAGGTTTAGATCAGAGCTACTGAAACTTAGTCAAACAACTTAAATCGAGAAGTAATCTACAGTGATTGCGCGTAAAGAATAAAAAAAACTTTAAATTTACATACACTAGATTAGATTCTCTTGAGATTTAAGAAAAACAAAATGTTAAAATTTTGAAAAGCTAGATTTTGGTTATCGCGATCTAACTAGTTTGGCTGATCTATAGTGATCAGGAGCATACTTAATATTAGTTGAAGAGTTCTTCAGTGATTTTAGAATGATATCTTGTTTAAAAGATCAAAAATTGCAAGTTTTAGATAACAGGTGTGGTTAAAGATTGAAAGAGATCAATTCTTCGTAATAATGAACAAATCTTCATACTTCCCAAGCAGTGTTGCATTCTGGCCATTTGTCTAGATCAGATAAATTCTGAGACAGAAATTTCTTCATAAAGATCGATTCTATATGAAGATAGAAAATCTAATCTACACAAAGATTATTTCTACATAAAGATTCTGTCTACATAAAGATTCGATGTAGATGTCTTCTCTGATGTAGACCTGGAAAAAATGTAGAATTGTAGACATCTACATCGAATCTTTATGTAGACAGAATCTTTATGTAGAAATAATCTTTGTGTAGATTAGATTTTCTATCTTCATATAGAATCGATCTTTATGAAGAAATTTCTGTCTCAGACAAAAACTATTGAAGAATCTACATTCTTCATCTAGTGTAGACATCTACATTTGCAACACTGTTCCCAAGTCTATTTTGAAATCAGACCAAAACACTTGCAAAAATAGCTCAAGAAATCAAAGTGAACAAACCTTGTTAAATCCATTTAAAAAAATCAATGAACCCAAACACTCTCAAAAAAGAAAACATTTCAAAAGAGTTTTTTTTTTAAGTTAATTGAACTCATTTAAATCTGACTAATAAAAATAACATTTACCCCTGATTTACATTATCATGTGCTTCCAATACCTCCACGAAGGTACAAATTGAGTTGCTCTCTATAAAAACCACCATAAATTTCGAAAATCCATAAATTGTCCAATACTTATTGAGACTGAAATGTTTAACACAAAGAAGAAGCTTGAAAACTCCGAAAAAACAATTTAAGATAACAAAAAAATTATGCTCACAAGAGGCGTTCAGATTAACATAATCTACTAAAATAAAAATGTAAAATTCGGAGGAAAAAAGAACTCAATCTAAATTACGAAGATCAAAAAGCGAAGGAATGTATCGTATTAAGTTAATGGATAGAAGCGAAATGAAATGTCTATTTTAAAGAAAAAAACTAAGTTTCTTCTTATTATTTTTGATTTTGATTGAATTAAATAATATGATTTAAATTTTTTTGATAAGGTGTTGAAATTTTTGTATTTTGAAATAATTTTATTGACTTTTTACAAAATTCACAAGTTTTGAAGTTGAAAAACTTAAAAGTTTTTAAATATTTTTTTAACAGTCTTTTAATGTTAAATTTACAAAATCTCAGTTAAAACTGTCAAAATTTGAACCCCATCAAATTTTCAAAATTGTTAGAATTTAAATGATTTTGAAATTTTTCAATTAAAATACGAACTTAATTTGACTAATCTTATTCTTTTTTAATTTATACAAATTTGAATTTTTGAGAACCGTTAAGAATTTAAAAAATGATTTTAACTGTCAAAAAAAAATCAAAAAATGTAAAGATTTTTAAGATTTCATAAAGATTTCAAATTTTAACACAATTTTAAAGTCCTTCATTTTTGAAAATTTATTCCAACTTTAGTTGATATCGTATCCATAAAGTACAAAAATACAAGCGAACATATTCATGAGCTATTAAAAGCACTGAAATGTCAAAAAATTATTTTCTGCGCATTTTGTTGTTGTTCATTTCCACACTTTTATCAGGTGTATCCACACATTTTCTGATTTCTCATGAAAAATAAATAAATGAACACTCAAAATCTTTAAAATTTAACTCTTTAACTTAAAAAATCTACTTTAAATTTTTTATTTCAAATTCTTCTAATAAATTCTTATTATCTCCGATAGCAACAAAGTAAAGAACCAAAAAGAGTCAAAAACCTCCCAAAATCTTGCACGCTCAATGCCAAAACAAAGCAATTAGCAGTAAAAAAAATCCTCCATCACGAAAAAATTAAAAATTCGAGAAGCCTTCTTCTTAAAACAGAATGAATCAGAATTAAACACTTTTATTCTCGCTTTTTGTGAGGCACAGAATCATTGATGAGGAGATGAAGTCGTTTTGATTTTTGAAGATTTTTTTTTCATATGAACTAAGGAAGTAGCTAGTAAGTTATTGAAATTTGGGGGGGGGGGGGGTCACAATTTTAAGGAAACAAATGTATTTGCTAAGAAAAACTATGAGAAAAAAAAATTATGAGTAGCTTTATGGACCCCCTCAACACCCCTGTGCAATAAAACAATTCGAAATCTTATTGAACTTATAGAGTCCTCAAAGAAAAAGAAAAAATAATGAAAGATAAATAGGATTTATTCAACTCAATGTTAGATACCGAGAGTCGACAATCATCACCATATATAGCCATACACAAAAAAAAAATTGAGAATCTGTGAGAGAGAGATAATTGAGAAAGCAATTAAGCAAAAATTATAATTTTTATTTTCCATCCATATATCTACATACATATAAATTTTTATAATCTCGAGTGGATTTTCGGTCGTTATAAATTCAACACCTCGCTGATACGAAAGCGAAATGCAGCAGTAGCAGCAGCAAAAAAAAACTTTTCCATTTTCTGCTTCAAAAGTATGTGATTTTTTTCACACCCGCTTTGAGAATTTGATTGGTAATCCACCACATAAACTCACACCAACGACGACGGAGAGAGGCTACACAGTTGAAGTGGCAACATATAAACACAGAAAAAAAAATCTCATTTTCTTTATCACACAACACACGATATGGAAAGAAGCTATAGAGCTTTTTTTTTTCTCCCGTCATCGAACAGTGTGAGAGAGTAAGCAATAGAAGGAAGTAAGAAGAAGAAGAAAAGATTTTTTTTTGTATTTCGGTGTGTTGTGTGTCATATGGGTGGAGCCGAACGTTTACCGAAAGCTCACAATTTTTTTCTCCTCTCTCACAGCTATTTCCACATTTATTGTATGGTGTTGTTGTTGATATTATCGAAATATGTGTATTTAAATTCATAGTCGGAGACATAATGCGGTGTAGCAGTTGAGCCTCTTTCAATGGGTTTTTGGAAGGGGGAGAGACAACACACAAGAAGAAATTAAGCCAAACAAAAGAAGAATTCTAATACATTGACATTTTTCATGCCAGATATATATGAAGTGTGTGTAATGTGTGTATATGGACGAGCAGCATAGAGGGAAATATAAAAAAAAGAACAGAGTGGAAAAGGAAAATAACAAGACACACCAAAGGTGAAAAAATAAACGCCGAGAACAACACCATCACATAAGAGTTTGTCACATACGCTAACATTATGAAGCAAGCGATTCTAACACATTCAAATCTGACTACCGCTGCTGCTATATTAACATTGTAAAGGCGAAGAATATCAAGCGCTTGATAAGTAGCATAAAATACACAGAAATTGCATATGTAGATGTAAAAAAACACTCACTTATACAAATTCTTTTTTGTCTTCAAACACACTGTGTGTGAATACGATTTTGAGTAATCGAGGCACTTTGGCAGTTATAGAAGAATATTGTCGGTGTGAAGTTGATATTTTATAAGGGAAAAAAAATATATAAAAATAAAAGAAAATAAATATTTTTTTCTTGCCGCTGGATGAGAGAAAAATACAAGAAATAAAAAAATATCTTTCGCCGATGAAAATATTTTGGACGTGAATAAAATAAAAAAAAATTCTTTAGGATTATAACAATTTAGCAATTTATCCGTAGTGAATTAATGAATTATCTCGGGAATTTCACACGCATAACTTCCAAATAAATTAAGTGAATTTAAAAAAAACAAGAAAAAAATAAAAATTTTAAAAAATAATTTAAAAAAAATGTGTGCATAATTTTGTGAATTTAAAAAATTAACATAAAAAAAGGAAAAGTGCAAAAAGGAAGTGCTGAAATAAAAATAAAAAAAATTTTCGTTAAAAATCACAGAATAGTAAAATAAATTGTGGAATGTTGTAATGAGATACGACGTTCAAGAGTTACTGCAAACAGACTCGGAAATCGGTCGGACAAATGGGATGGCATATCATCCTTTTCTGCAATTACCAAGACAGACTGATTTCTCAGTCAGCTCTCTGCTGACCGCAGGAATTACGCCAAGTTCTCAGTCGTCTCAATCAAGTGGACAATTATCTCCACAAACACCTTCAAATAATTCGTCACACCATCACCAAACGGTTGTGCCACAACAGCCAGCACATCCAACACCAACTGTACCAATTCATCCGTCACAGCCTTATTTTCCTGCTGCTGCATTAGCTGCACTCGCGAGTAACGCACCGGTTGGATCACATTCGCATTTATATCCAGGTGCTCTTCTACCGAAATTACCTCCACATCATCCTCACGCTACGTTGGGGACACCATATCATAATCATCCATATACTGCTGAGGACGTCGTATTAGCAGCTGCAGTCGTTGCACAACAACATCATCCAACAATGCGCCCATTTCGCAACTATCCTGAGGATGATGGTGTTGAAGATGATCCAAAAGTTACACTTGAAGGCAAAGAGTTGTGGGAAAAATTTCACAAATTGGGAACTGAAATGGTTATCACTAAAAGTGGACGGTGAGTATTTATATATATCCATGATCCTATAAAGTGAGCACATCAAGACAATATTTATAAAGTGTGCAAATATCCAATAACGTGAATGTGCAATTTTGCCGACGGTGCGATCGAAAAAAAAAATATAAATAAATATATTCGCTGTGTGTAGGAAGAAGAAGAAGTGGGAATGAAGGAGAAAAATGAGTGCAAATTAGCAATTTGTTAATTGTAAAATTGTGAATCAAATGTAATTAAATCTAGTTTGACAGTTTCACACTTTAATTTGCAAAACTTGTGTTATGACATTTGAAAATCTAAACAAAACTTTTTGTAACTTAATTCCAATTGGATGTGGATTTTACATGATCAAGGCTTTTTCACTATGGACTTTTGGAAAATGGTGAATTTACTCGATTGTGATTTAAGATTAAGTTTGAGAATATTGTGTTGATTTTAGCTGTGGAATTATTGATTATATTAAGAATAGTTTAAACAAGTTACTAGTTCATTAAGTTTGAAAACTATTTAATTAAGGAAAGTAAAGCTTCGAATTGTTCTAAATTCCAGAATTTAAAATTAATATTCAAAGAATCATATGAAATATTTGTAATTGATCTTAATTGAGCTCCTCCATAGATTAATAATTAATCAATTGTAGCAAAGTGATTTTCAAGAATCTTACAAAAATCAAAATACTAAGCGCAATTAAATTTTCAATAACTCAGCAGTTAGCATTCCTTAAAAATTAGCAAATTCTCATTAAATTGCTTTTGTGCCTCTTTTTAAAAATGATTATTCAATTTGGTTAAACGGAGTTACGTTAATTTAAATAAGGAAGTTATTTACTGCACACAGTAATTTGGTTAAATTGCTAAATTGTGACTCTGCAAAATGGAGTTGAAGAAGAAGAAATAATAATTTTAAACTTGTTGAAAAAAAGCTAATGTTTTTTCTGAAAAATGAGATTATTTTAAATTTCAAATGTTTTTAAAGATAAAAATTGTTCTTGAAAACTTAAACGATCTTTAAAAGGAAAACATTCAATTCGTAAAATCTAAAATAAATCAAACTTCCATTTCAACCACAAATTTATTCTAATAAACTTAAAAATAAGTCAATTGAAAGTTTCAATTTTAAATAATTAAAAAAAATAAAATTGTCTGAATTAAGCAACAAAATCTATTTAATCATCAAATTCCATGAAAAAATAGTCCAACTCATCAGCACAAAATAAACCAGTAAAGTAAATCCATAAACAAACTTTTCCAATCTTCACGATCAATAAATGGGTTCTGCAATGTCAGATTAACACTGCATTCGGTCAAATAAGTCCAAAAAATTATCATTTTTCAATTCAGACGTTCCAAAACCTGATGCTCATTGAGATGGAAATCAATCAATTTAATTTTATTTGAGGTCTTAATTAAAATGCTTAGACAATATTATTTTTGATATAGATTGATTTTATTAATAATTGCGAAGGTATGAATATAAATGTTGTGATTATTAATATTTATTAAGTGATCAAGCCTTGGAATTGTGATGCTAGAATAATTTTTTTTTTCTAGATCAGTGACTTTTTTCTTATTAAATCGATATTTAGCTGATCAATATATTTTTTTTGAGAAAAATAAATATTTGAAGTTTTTTTTTCGCTGATTGATTAATGGAAGTCTTCTTCTTTGATTTAATTTGGAGTTGAAATATTTTCTAAAGAAGTTAGAGATTTTGAAATGAATTTCGGTCATTTTTGTCTTTAGGAATTTTTTAAGAATTTTTGAAAAAAATCAACTTAATTCAAGACTTTGATCCTCATTTCATCTGAATGAAAAGTTCTATTTTTCCGGATTAAACGGATGAAAGATTCTTTTGTTAAGGATGAAATTTTTCATTTGTTTTGGATGAAAAAGATTTTAGTGTCAACTCCTTGAATAAAGTTGTCTTCAAAACACTCTTTTTATTGAAAAGGTTAATATTTCAGTGTTCATAACTTCATTTTGAATCTCTAAAATCTTAAACAATTTTTAAAATTAATTTTAAACCTTTAGAACCTTTCCATAAGTTATACTTTGGTGCTTCTTATCTTAATTAAGTCTTTATGTTATCACAACTCGAATAGTAAATTCAACTAAAATATGAAAATTTTAAAAATAAAATCTATCAAAAAATCCTTATTCAATTGACATTCTCAACTCTATTCAGATGTAGGGGTGCATTCAGAACAGAAAAAGATCAATAGATTAAATTTTATTTTACTAGATTCTTCAATATTGCGCAATTTTACAATCAAAAATTCAGACCTTAGCTTACTCCTGAATCTCAATTCAAACCAAAAAAATCTCTTTGATTCTCACAATCCTCATAATCATCATATATCATATCACACAACAAACCCAACCACTCTATAAATTCCATATCCATTTATAGTTCCTTTATAAAGACACTTTTCTGTGTTTTATTTATTTCATCACCAACAACTGCATTTAATTTGTAATTTGTATACAGATAAGACAATTTTTCATGCTCCTATATTCACCTTTTACATATTAAGTGAATGTACCTTTTGTGATGTCCTCATGAGTGCACAATAATTATAAAGTAAAACACTTTATGATGTTTAAAAAAGGCAAAGAAGAAGAAGAAGAAGAATAAAAATTCTGTATGTACATGGACAATAATTTTAATTAAAAAAACAGGAGAAAATAATGTGATAGTTCTGGCAGTTTCCATGTTGTACATGACCTGAGAAAAATATATATATGGATGTGATATTATTATTACTATTATCAATTTAATTTTAATAATTTTTCTTAATTAGCATGACACAAAATAATAATAAGAAGAAGTCAAGTTATGTCCATGTTTCGTGTTAAGCTATACGAGAGTGCTAACACATTATTTTATGTTGATAATATAAGTAATGGAAATATATTTTGTCCTATAATAACTTTATTATGCAAATAAATATCATGATTTATGCTCGTAAACCTCATTTTGAGGTGTATCATACCGCATATAATAATAATCATAATGATGACTTTGATATGTGTGAGGAGGCCCACCAAAAAAAGAGGATATGAGCACGCATTTGTTGAATTTTATTAATACATTCATTTTTTTTTTTAATATCAACACTGGAAGAAATGAGAGAAGCATGCCTTTTTATGGCGCTTGAATATTTTCATTTCATATAAAGCCGCCTTTTCTATCTTTTTTAACACATTTTCTTGCTGTTTATGTGAGTCGCTGCAGTAGTGGTTACGAATGAATAATGTCGGTGTGGAAAATTTACGATTTACTTCTCAGTTGTGATATGAGGATCATTAAATTATTTTTTTTTTGTTGATTATTTTGTTGAAATTTGAGAGGTTTTTGTGAAAGATATTTGAGATATGGAAGCAAATGACCAAGGGATGGGCTCTTATTTAGTATTCAGGCATTAAAGTAAAAAAAGTTTAAGTTTGCATTCTGTCTAGATATTAATGGTCACTCGATAGCTCAGTGGTAAGAGTATACGCTTGATAATCGTGAGGACATGGGTTCGATTCTCATTCAGGACAAGTTGTATAGAAGTTACTTTTTCTGCTCAATGTTCACCATTAAGTTCTTGTTTTCGAGCTATTTAAGCTTCAGACAGTGAACTTGACTGCAAACTACTCTTGTGTAGCTTTGGATCTTAAAGATCTGAGCCAATCAATGGTTTTCAAGCTTTAAAAGATAAAACTGGATGAGATTATTGATGCATATAGCTACATGTCCTGTTTCAAAAAATTTCATTTATACCAAACAGCATTGAGAGTTTTGAACGTACAAATAGATCTCACAATTTAAAATATCCAAAAAAAAGTTGATACTTCATAAATTAAGCTCAAAAATGACATCTTACTATACACATAGTATAAATATTCCCCAGCAAATAAATGATCATAACCACTTAACAAGACATCCATAGCAACATATCCAAAAAACTGCTTGAAATCCTCTCCATAACATCGAAAACTATAAATAGCATTCAACTAAAACAGCCATCAAACCCCCAATCAACAAAACCATTTAAAAATTCTATCGAATTTGGCCATAAACAAATTAATTTTTGATCATTCAGCTGAGCTGCAATAACAAATGTCGAAAAAAAACATTTCAGTAGTAAAAATTTCGCATTTTAACGGAAGTGGCATGCTATAGATGAGAATCAAAAAGAAGAGAGAGAGAATTTGATGAAAAAAAAAAAGAGTTGAAGAAGTCTAACCGCAATGTGTGTATATCTACTGCATGCATGCAAATGTGGTTATGTTGCTGCTGAACATAAAAAAAATTTGCACACAATCTCTCTCTCGCTCGCCGTTTATTATACACATATACAGGCATAGGACGCATATTGTTGAGCTACAGCAAAAAAAATATGTTTTTTGTAGACCAAAAAAAGAAGAACCTGGCAATGCACAAATTCTTTTTTTGTTCTTCTCGCTGTTGTTGCATGCTGAAGAAGAAAAATTGCATGTTTAATTTGCTGCTTCTAAACAACAAGCAGTCACACGTTTGTTTTAAGCATAAAAAGAAGAATTGAATCTTGTGTTAATGTCCATTATCACTCACATGATGTTTTTTTATTCTTTCATTTCATTTCATTTCATGCAATTTAGTGTGGAAATGGATTCTATCTTGTTAGCAACAACAAATAGTCGATTGCAATCATGAGCGATATTCGCCACTTAATGTTAATTATAAGTTAGAAGTGAAGCTCAACACGAAAGATCTGAACTGTTTAAACACGTGATAATTTGAGAGGAAACTTTTTTATTTAATGTGGATTGTTTGAGTTGGTTTAAGGTTCTGATTTGATTGGTGGTTTGAGGGTGTTTAGAAGTGGAAATTGATTTTTATGGGGGGTTATTGAAGTGATTTGATATCTTGGGGTGTCATCTTGTGTAGCTAGAAGTAGTTTGTTTAAGAAAAGATGAAGCAAAATTTCTGCAAACTTCCGTGCTGGAATGTGAGTTGTGATGATTAAATTGCAT